GGGTTCAACTGTCTCTCCTTCCTGCAGGAATTGTATCCAGAATTGTGAATTTCAGTTCTTCAATTGTGTATTTCAGTTCTTCTTAAGAAAAAACCTATTTATGAACCCGACAGACATGTTTCATATATAGTCAATGAAACATTATTAACCTTCTAGTGGAACCAGGAATGATACTCTGATTATAAGAAAACACTCTGAATGTCAGGAGCATTAAGTTTTCAATCAGAACTAGAATGGCAAACATACATATCAGGTTTTGTTCTAAATTATTGGGGCTTTTTCTCTGTTGCCTCCTGTCAAAGATTTTTGGTAAGCCTCGCTCTGAGGCACCAAAAGCAGATTGAGATCCAGTGATAAGAGACGTTTACCTAAATGTTAATAAACCAGTTTTCTGATATATTTTCTAATGGAAAAATGTCTAGACTAATATGACTCAAAACAATTATTATTTAATTGAGTTTATGATTGATTAATTCTAAATATTTGTTGTAAATAGACTTATGTAGATAAAGAAAAAATCAAACAATGAATGAAGCTGTAATCCATTTAACTTCTGTACCTTCATATAAAGTGGACTCCTGATACAATTTATTATAATGACTGAAAAACAGAATAAATTGTTCAGACCTGAGAGTTTCCAGTTTGCAGTTTGGACTCTTCAGTCCAGAAGACAGCAGCTCCACTCCAGAATCCTGCAGCTTGTTGTTACTCAGGTCCAGCTCTCTCTGATTAGAGGACTGGGAGCTGAGAACTGAGGCCAGAACTTCACAACTTCTCTCTGAGAGTTTACAGTCATTCAGTCTGAAATGACAGATACAAAAATTTAACAATGGTTTTGCTAGATTAAGACTATAAAAAAATAAAACAACCATATAGTGCTCCATCTCACTGACTTGAAGATAACCAGATAAAGAAGTTAGTTTGGTGTAGTCAGAAATGTTTGGCAGCACTTTGAATGTGCTTCTGGAGGTAGAGTTTGGGTAAGAAATCACTCTTTTATCATTGTTTGGTTTCTAAAACTCATTGCAAGTGCCTCGTATTATATTTGTTGTGTAAATTGATGTTGATGTGTGGCCTCACAGAATTCTATATCATGACTCAGAACAGAGTGACACAGTATGAGGCAGGACAGACAGTGGGAATATTCAAATAGCATTTATTGAAATAAACAGACAGTGGATTTGTAGTAGCAGCAACTAGGGTGTCCGAGGCAGGCTGACAAGATGCAACGTTTGCTCGAAGAGAGCTCCAGATGCTGAAGCCTAGATTGATACAGAGCTGACAGAAGATCAGATTGAAAGGATAATCCATAGGGACCTCAAGCACCTATTGTTGACAGATTCATGTTCAATCTACATGAAGTAGGTGTCCAAAGACAGGTCAGGCAAGCTCAGAGGTCCAACAGCAAAATACGTCAGGATCAGGCGATCAGAACCAAATCAGTAACGCTAGAATAAGTGTCACACCAAAGGCTCAAGA